AAAATTGCTTTTCATTATGGCCCAGCTTCTTTAAGTGTTTTATTCTCAAGCATTCATGCCAGCTTACTCAAAGCTCAAGAAAAGGAAAAGAAAATAGATATGGCATTTTGCCCATCAACTATTCTCTTATGAAACACTTCTAAGATAGAAAGCATTATACAAAATGATATTTTATTGTTTTAATAGATACATTTCTAATATATTCTATTTGACCCTGACTTGATATTTTTAAAATAAGTTTGAAAATTTTCTGGATATTGGAAATCGCTGACTAGTTCATTTTAATGCATTTGATTTTTTTTTTTTTTTTTAGAGTTTCTATGAACAAAAAAAAATTCCTCCAGGATTTTGTGGTTAAATTGTTTCCTGTTATTTCTATTGATTCATTCATTGGCTTTTTATTCTATACCAATCTCAGTTAAAGTAAAACCAGATTAGAGATATGTCCCTCAATTTATTTAACAATATTTGAATTATTTTATTTTAATATAAAATCCTGAAAGTCATAGAAAGGACTTTAATAATTATTCAAAACAGTACATTTCAACATTAATTTATTTAATAAATCTTTATTGGGTACTTAAGAGGCTAGGATTTATTGGTCTAAAGAAGAGAAACCCAGTTTAATATTCTTTTATTCAAAATAGAGAATCAAAAACTCATCTTTGCAAAACTACACTCTTTGGTAGCCTTACTATGGAAGGCATAGAAGAGTAGCCAAAACAGTTCTCAAAAATAATCTTGACTGAATTTTTCTATCAAGTTGTATCTGCCATTTTTGTTTTAAATTGTGACCCCAGCTATTATAGTTTCTACTTTTCTTTTTCATATTTGCCTTCAAATTAATTTCTTACTTTTTTCTATTACATATGATTATTTCCGTTTTAACTTATACTTATGTACAACAAAAATTTCCATTTTTAACTAATACTGGTTGCCTACATTTATAAACATGTCCATGTGTTAATTTTTCCAGTTGCATTTTGCTATAGGAAACTTAGCTTCTTAAAAATATAGAATTATTTCCTCATACTCATGACAAGCTTCTGAGTGATTTAACACAAAAAACTTTTTAAAAACTTGATTTTGAAATAAACACATTCATTGCATTTCACCCAATTTTAAGAAAGTCTCAATCATCTTTTCTCCTCGAATAAAGAAACTAATGACATTGCAAATGTACATTACAAAACCTTCCCATGAGTCTCAAGAGTACAGAGATGTGTTCCCCTGGTGGAAGCTCCATGCTCAGAGGCAGAGCCCTTGAGCCAATGGGAGCCATGATGTTAGCCAGGCTGCATGCAGGCCACGGCTCACACAAACCCACTGTGGCAATGCCTTCTCTGAGATACCTGTCCTGAGTCTTCTTGAGCCAAGTGATTACTGCGGGAGTTCAAGAAATGCATCTTGTGTAAGTCATTAGTAAATATATGTGGAAGGAGGACAAAAATGAGAATTCTTTTTAAAATTTCTGATTTTTTAAATGCATGCTCAAATAATTTATGAAATCTGGCCAATGGGTTTTAACAGTGTCCTGAAACTCTGCAAGCAGCGTGCGAATGATGAGAGAAAAATCTGAGAGGTTCAGATTAGGACTTCATAGTCATCTAAATTTTATGCTCTCGTATCCAATGTTGAATTGCATTGCTATTTAATAGAATTAGAACTATGGAAAAAAAATTTTTTTAAAGTTGGAGGCAAAAGCAACTTCTGTTTGTAGATGCTTTATTTAGCAGCTACAATTAGCTAATTCTGTTAATGCATTGCAATTTTGTATAGAAAGCTTGTAACTGCTGTAATGGTGCACTTCTTTTCTCGAGTATGGTTTTTGCTTTTATTCCTGAGTCTTTATGCTGGGGATGAAATTGTAAATTGTGCAATATATGCCATTTACATTAAAGAATGTTCAGTAAGTGGTACTATGTAATAGGCTCTATTGGAACAGGAAAGAAAAATAAATAAATAATCACTTAGGCCAGTCTTTAAAGCATTGGCAACACATAAATAAGGAAATGTTTGCAAATCATTTACATGGCAATACAAACTATTAAAATATTTATATTAATATAAAAATTGGCCAATTTAGGAAATTACTCATACATTTTCTGTGTGAATGTTAGCTTCAAAGTCAGGCTAATAAACTAGATCATGGCTAATCATGGCAAAGGGTACTCAATAAACTGAGTTTGGATAGAGTGAATATTGATTGGAGAGGATTCCTGGTGTTTCCATATGATCACTCTGTTTCTCCTGCAGATTTTGCTCAGAATTTCTAAAAAATGCATTTCAGTAGTTACACTTTGAGTCACATCATCTGAAGATTTTGCTTACTGAACTTTATTCCCTTTTAGTCTGCCCAGAGATTTATTTTCTTTTTTCAATTTGAAAAGCTCCTAATGGACATTACTGTTGATCTTGGCTTTGTAAAGTTGTAAGAAGACAGTTGAGGTTGTATCACCACTAGTATGACTAAATGTTTGGTACAACTTCATTTTTTCTGACTTTCTAAACAAGACACATTGGCTAAATACATTTCTGGAATCAAATGAAAGCATCTACTATTGGCAAGAGCTGCCAGTAAATAGGTTACTAATTACTTGTCATTGACAGGGGTATCTCTAAAATGCAACAGAAATGACCATTTGGAAGCTGTCATTAATTGGCAGGTCATCAAATAAAAATTATTCTCATTAATTTTGGTTTTGTTAATCTCCTCCCCATAGTTGGAGGTATCTGAGCAAGTGATAGAAGTAGCATAGCAAAAAAAGTCGCTTTTTCCCTTTACCCCATATGCATAACCAATAATTAACTCCCAGAGGCTTCACAGTCATTCTGTTAGTAGTTTGAGCTTTTTAAAGTAAAATACGAAAAGAAAAGAAAACTAGCATTTTAAGTATTTACCAATATCATAGATACTCTGTGAGATTTAGCATGAAGACTCAAAACCTCCGTCTCAGTGGCAAAGCCATGTCATTTATTTATTTCTCAGACTTAAATTATTTAGCACGATATTTGGTAAAGCAGTATATATAGGAACGCGTCCTATTTAGAAAACGGCGGACACTGAATAATCATTTTATATGCCTTAAAAGTTAAAAAAAAAAAAAAGAGAGAGAGAGAAGTCATGATTCTTGTGCCTCTTGCAACCTTACTAAATACCATGAAGTCAGCATTTTCTCTAATGTTTCATAAATTTTACACTTTGGAAAGTATATATGCATCTTTTACTGACACCCAAAAAAAGTAATTAGATTAGCGTTCTAGGCAGTATTTTACAATCTAACAAACCTGAAGATGTATTCCGTGAGTGGCTCTAGAATCACTCCTAGCCTGTAAGAGTTCATTTTGGGCCACGCCCTCTTCCTTTCTCTTCGGGAGTAGAATTTCACGGTGAATAATCAAGAGACAGGGGCGGGAGAGGGGGGTCGGGGCAGGGACGGATATGAGTGGAGAAAAGCAGAGATGTGTGTAGGTTGTAAGTTGGTGTTTGACTTCCCTCCTAGGTGTGTATGTATCTACACATCCTAAAGACATTTACGGAAAGCCAGCTCAATGTTTTCTGAGTCACCGTACTATTTTTGCTTTATGTCCTAAAGAAGGTCATTGTTGAGTCTTTTAATTTTAATCAAAATTGAACTTTTTCTAAGGTAAGATGGGTGACAAATTCCTGGAAGCCTGATTTCAGGGCTTTAGTGTGATTTCAGAGAGTTTAGATCTATAGAATTTAGACCATTACATACAACATGTCACCAATATGCTCTATGGTTGCCATATAGAAGACAGGCAAAAATTGTAGCTGACATTTATTGAGCGCTTGCAATATGAAAGGACTGTTTTAAGAAGTATTTATTATCTCATTTTAATTCTCAAAACAACTCAGTGATACAGGTACTATTATCACTATTTTATAGATGGAGAAACTGGGGCACAGAAAGGCTTGTGGAGCCCCAGGTCACACAATTACCAAGTAGAAACACTGGGATTTGAACCAGACACACTGTTTAACAGCATATACTATTAACCACTATGACATATTACTTCCTAAGGTTGGATATGGTAATATTTTTTAAATAATGTATAGCTTCCCAAATAATTCCTGACAGGTATGACAGTATTCGGGAAGTGCATTTCTGTCATTACAAGCATTCCAAAAGCTAAATAAAAGGCTGGTAACATTAGCTTTCCATTTTAATTTACCCTGCTCAGGCAGGCTCACTGGTATAAGGCTCAGGTTCTTTACTAAAAGGCAATTTTAAATATATTTTATCAACAGTCTTGTTTTGTTACAAAATGTTTGCTTATATTTACCTGGTTTTTAATTATTAGAGTTTGTCAAATCTCCATCTTGCCTGTTCTTCAGGGACACTGTTGGATATGCGGATCAGTTATAAATCACTGCATGCAATACAGCTGCTAATTATTAACCTTTCTTAGATATGATACTATATATTTAATAATATACTCATTTTGTAATGATTTAAGTTCTATTTTGATTTTATTAAAGAAATTTATTCTAAATCTTCAAAGCAACCAGCTCTTATTTTGGCAAAAATCAACCTAACTTAGACTGTGAAAATTTTTTAATTGCTACCAGTTCCCAAAGGATTTCCTTTTGCTTTAGCTTCAGACAAATGGTGCATCTTACCTCCTTGACTTCATATGTCAAAAAAAATCTATCAAGAAAGTGTCTTACATAAACTCTGGGTGGCAGTGGTTGGAGCCCTGCCAGCAAAGTGAGGTAGCCGAGACTCGAAGCATCATTTTCAACTTCGCTGATAAAAAGACTGCTGGGTACATGGGCACATGACTTTCAGGGGGTTGTGTTTGTTTGTTTGTTTGTTTGTTTAATCATCAACCTCATCAGAAGAACTGCTATCTTAAATGTTGATTTTAAAAGTGCACCAGGTGAAATTGTTTAATTTTACATGCATTATTAAAACACTTGTTTTATAAGTAAAGAAATGTGGAGAGTTGATTTTTCTTCCATTTTATTTTTACAGATATTCGAAGAAGAACAATTTATGAATACCACCGAGTAGAGTTACAAATGTCAAAAATTACCAACATTTCAGCTGTGGAGATGACCCCATTACCTAGTAAGTTAAAATGTGAACACACCTAGGTGGAAAAAACTATTTGCAAATTTGATTATCGGATGGTGCTTAGCACGTGCAGGCATGTGGGGATGGGAGGGTTGTTTAAAATGAGCAGTCATTGGGGGGTTTTCTCCATGTTCCCAATTAGTCTTGCTGACTCTATTCTCCCCTGTTTCCTAGCGTGTCTCCAGTTTAATGGCTGTGGCCCCTGTGTATCCTCTCAGATTGGCTTCAACTGCAGTTGGTGTAGTAAACTTCAAAGGTAAACAAAAATACAAAAAACCTGAATTTTAAAAAGACTTGTTGCTTCTATTCTTCCATTGAATTTTATATGTGTCAGGCGTGTTATGTATACATTAATAAGGGTATATGTGTAAAAAAAAAGCCACGACCAAAATGAAAAAGAAGATGCTCACAATTAGGAATTTTGTTTTTTAATATTTTTCTTTGTCTGGTGTCTTCAAATTACCAAGGGATCCTCATAGTCAATAAGATCATTATCTGACAAACGTTTATAACTTCTATGAGGCTTAAGATAGATGATGATTGCAACTGATGAGTCTTTAAATTGATGCTTTTGGTCCATATTCTACAGAAAGTATGGCATGAGACATCTTTACAATAGCAAGGATAATATATTCTTAATCATATGAACAGTTCTTGAAAATCTTATAAATATCTCAAAGGTTACTGGCCAAGATGAGACATGTAGTCTGAGGCTGAGGAATAGAGTGACACTAACTGGCCCTTACAATGGAACGTGTGGCTTTGGTCTGTGTTGTAACTACTTTTGAAACTGAAGCTACTTCACTTGGCAAAGAGGGCTACTGATTTTCATGAGTGCTAAAGAGGATTTTTCAGTTCCTATTGCTTAAAGAAGTCTGAATGATCACTTGTTAGAAATACAGAGTGCAGACCTGTAAATGTGTTTTGGTATTTACTCAACCATTTGTGCATCAATTAAGTCCCAAGCACTGGGAAAACAGCAATAAATAATATATGGAGATATGGTGCCTGCCCCCAGTGAGCTTACAGTCTGAGAATAAGTCCACCTCTCACCTTCAGAGTCTGTGGTACATCTGCTTCTTTCTCCCAGTGGAGAATCGAATCTTCAAGCTGCAGTCAGTGCATGTGGGATGAGAGCTTTCTGCTGTACGCAGCCTGTGTCTTATCACCTTGTTGCAGCATTTGCTGTAATGATAGAGGCATGTTTAGGAATATTTTAAAAGTTACTGAAGTACAAAGAATAGAATGTCAATTCCTTGATAACAAGCTTTAGGAAACATGTTTAACTTGCTAACTTGGGGGCAACCACTATTCTGTATAGAACAGTATTATTTATTATAAGTTATGTTTTGTTTTCAATTTCCCATGTTGTTCTAATAATTTCCTTTGGGCAATGAATTTCAAAGAATGAAAAGCAAGCAGGCAATTAGCATTGTTACAAGTAGATTTTAACTAGCTGTATCTCCAGAGTGGGAAGAACTGCTATAAAGTCAAGGGTGTGTGGTTATTTATATTTACATTTTGCTGACATTTCACAAAAATTACACGCATGTTAGAAATTATTCAAAATCTGTTAGAAAAATACCAAAGTCAGTCTAAAGAGGTTGCATTTTAATATGTATAGTTAAGTAATGCTGAGCTCAGACATGCAGAATGCCCAAAAGAATAAAGTAGAAGGCCCTGGTTTAGTGTATATATCTGTATCAAGTTCCAATTTAGTGATCAGCTCCTCTGAGAATTCTCCCAAAACCATAAACTTGTGCGAGGTGTCCGGCCCCTGTGCTTCTGCTGCATCCTTCACCATTAACATTTAGCTCATTTGTCTGTCTCCTTTGCGGGCTCTGGGTGTATTAAGTGTGATTTGCCCTTTTATCTACAGCATCTACAAATGTACCTGGTGCTGCAGAAAAATAGATGAATGAATGAGTGAATGATGATGAGGTTCCAGATAAAGAAATCATGATTAGATTTGTCTGGGACCAATGGGTTTCCCAGGACGCGGAACCTGCAATGCTGAAACCAAACCGGGAAAACCAGGGCAAGGTTGCCATCTGGCCAGGATACTATTAAAACAATTCTCAACTAAAATTATGTTTGGGTAATAAAGGTTTGGGACATTAGTCTAGAAACCTACCAACCATTTCATTATGGTTTTTAAAATCTTATTGGTGGAAGCATATGTTTAAAGTTTTAAACAAGCAGTTTTGGCAATCAAAAGACATCCCCAAATTGGAAACTGTTTCATACTGTTAATATTTTCATTATATTGAGAGGTTTCATTACCAGACATTTTGCCAAGGAATTTTCAAATATATTCACCTTGTAGAACATTTTTACAGTGGAGGAAACTAAAGCTAAGTTATTTGTGCAGGGTCTCATTGCTCTTAAGTGTTACCTTTGGAACTGAAGCTTAACCTGTGTGTTTCCTGCCTGAGGCCTTGACACCTCACCTGTCTTTCCTCACGCCTGCCAGGCTTCAGGTGCAAGTCAATCTTCATCACCGCCTAAAAAATAGTAGACATGCTGCTGAAAAATAAATATTTTTTGTAACTGATGTTGCAATAAAATGATAAAGTTTTTATAGACATAAATAGGAATGCAGAAAATCAAGCAAAGCATAAGATTATGGTATGTTTTTGAAGTCATAGTTTTTTTTTTAGATTAATAGAAAAAAGAAAGGTGGTGATACATATGCATGAGGAAGGAATTCATCAAAGAACACCACTAAAAAAACAATGAGCCTTCTTCCTATTACCATTTGATATTTTGTTGAATACCAAATCCTGGTTTAAAATCTTGGATTTATTTCTAATTCTTCAGCAACCCAGTTATATACATATCAAAATCTTCCTAATTAATTGGTTTAACTATGGCTCATTGCACTTTTGTTCGATCTAATTTCCCCACTGCATTTTATTAATTTCTCCTTAGACCCGTGAGCTTCAAGACTTTGCTTTTGTTACCTGGAAGCATTTCCCCAGACCTTAGAGCTTTTATTAACAAATTCAATAAAACAAGAGAAGTCTCATTCTTAGTAGCACAAAAGACGCCTCACAAATTTTCCTTTTATCCTTCTTACCTTCTCCTTTGTTTTCATTTACCCCTGAATGATAATCTGTTAGTAGTGATTATCGAAACTATCAAGGTGGGCTTGCTTTAAAAAAGATAAATTTAATTGGTTTATTTCCTTTAATTCTCATTTTTTAGGGAGCAAAAACTAGGGTAGAATGTTTGTAATGGCTTACCCAACGTCTAAAGGAATTTGGGGTATAGGGATATATAGAGATCCATGAAAACAACTGTTCACCAAGAATAGATGGCCCATTACATATAGGTTAAGAGTGTTTTTATTTCTTTACTGCAAATTCAAAGTACATGAATCAACCCCTTTCATTATACCTTATATCTTCACTCATTCTACAGACTAACAAAAAAAATTATAGTGTCTCTGTGTTCAAGTTACAATCCTAGATTGTAGATTCAGAGAGAGAGAGAGATGGCACTCAAGTCTAGCTGCCTGCTACTACATAACCCAGGACTCCAGAGGCAGGTGCTGATATAAAGGAAAGCAGTTTATTTTCAGGCACTGGCAACCTGGAAGATGGGGGACTCGCATCTCAAGCCCATCTCTCTGGGAAGGTGGGGACTCCAGTCCCCAAGCCCATGTCCACATCTCAGTGAAGGCAAAGATTTTTATAAAGAAGGAAGGGGAACAGAACAAAGAGATCAAAGAGGGGCGTTGAAAAGTTCTCTACATGCAGACGAGCACAGTCCATTCCGATAAGGCAAGTGGTGGTCTGGGGTGCATCATCCTGGTTTAGTTATCCTGGCTCCACATCATGCTGGCTCCACTTTTGAAGGACTTCACATCATACTGGTATCCACTGAGGCTGGGATGCCTGAAGGTCTGTGTCTTTTGAAGTTAGTTCCTAGGATTCATAAGCAACCGTGCTGTTTTTCTATAAGCTACCTATTAGAGCCAGCGCTTACAGAAACAAAGTCAAAAGAATGGTGGAGTGGATTATAATTTCCGACTGTTAACAATTTTCCACTGTTCCATGTGCACTCTTACGTTTTTGTCTAGGGTTTTTTTTTTTTTTTTGAGGGATTTAAGGATGAAAAGGAAGAATGAAGAATATGTGCAGTAGTCTACAGCAGGGATGATAGCAGCTTAAACAAGGATGATGCTTATGGGGCACCAGAGGAGATGAATAAATATGAGGCATATTTTGGAAGGAAAGAAGTTGTTTACTAATGGATTAGAAGTTAAGGGAGAAAAGAAGGTAAGAATTGTGTCTACTTCCTAGATCTTCATTTGAACAATTTGGTAGATGCTAACACTTTTTCTTGAGCCTAGGTAAGGTGGCACAAAAAATAGAGACGAGGGCAGGGAGAAATAGAGTTTGGGTAGGGACAAGTTCAGCTGAATATGCCTATCAGAGCTCAAGTGGATATTTTGAGTAGGTGAGGCTAGAGAAGCCCAAATTTCTGCACCAGTTTATACCTAGAGATTCAGATTGGAGAGTCATTATCAAATTGCTAGTATTGAAATCCATGGGACTGAATGAGATCAGCTATGAAGAGGGTGTAAGTTGAAAATAAGAGATCCAAGAACAGCTGATGGGACGGCATAATAGGGACGGTGCTGACTTTCCATTACATGCAGGTGTATTTGTATGGACAGGGCCTACCTCTGAAAAGGTACACAGGAGAGTGATGGCCGCATTTGTCTCTGGGGAAACTGTAGTGAGTAGGAACAGGCATGAGAATGAGTAGTACTTTTCAGCAAGTACTTTTTCATATGATATGAATCTTTGCCATGTGGACTTGAAGACCAAAGGAGGCATCAACAAGGAGAAATAAGATGATATAAATTATTTAAAGGGTAGAAATGCAGTCTTACTTTAGTGTCTTCCACAGCACCCAACACAGTGCCTGGGCTAATAAAGGAATCCAGCATGTACAGTTGGACTGAATTATACAGATAATTGAGACCAGAAATTTCCATTTTCCTGAGAATTCTAATCACTCACTTTGGCTGTTACTACGCATGGGCTTTGTCAGCGCCAACCAAATGGCTTTGAGAGAACCAAGCTGATGCCTGACATTAAAGATCAACATTTATAATTAGGCGCATTGAACACTGGGGAGTTAGATTCTTAGCACTTTATTTTTAAAGAATTTCCACTTTGTATTCACTTAGCTCCAATCAAAGTCATAAGATGGTACTGGTAAAATTTTGGGAATAAATACATT